GTACTGCATTTTAATTTTAGAAAATGTAAATCCACTTATGAATTACAAAAATTAGTAAGACCGCTAAAGCGCAAATGAAATATTTAGGTCCGCAGTTAGTGGATTTGCACTTTAGCGGCTGGTGCCCACCACTGTTTAAATGGATCAAAGGAGCTAAAAGGATTCTCTGCATTTAGTGGCACAATTTATAATGACGACTACAGGACAAAATCCATTTCAGCAGCAGGGAGGGAATTCATTGGACGTCTTGTCTAAAATGTAGATCTACTTGGATTYCTGTGTAATTTACTTGCATTTAGTTGTCAGCTGCATCACGCCAAATAGCTCATAAATTGTGAATATTGTCATCTTCTCTGGAGTGATTACACTTTACCTCACAAAAATATCACTGTACTCCAGCTAAAATACGACTTGCCTTTTAAAACGCGTATTATGAGCCACTCTGCAAAGTTACAGGATAGACAAAGTGGCTCACAGACACGTTTGATAGCCACCCTCAGAGATCAAGTGTCTCTGTGTGTTATTAATGGCTGTTGTCAGCCCCCACACACACACTACAGTTCTGCATTGCATTAATCTGAAGAGACACTGGGTCATTCTGGGTAATGTGGTTTTATTTATTTTATTCCCCCCGCCCTCTGCCGCTGCTCACTCTCTTGGAAGACTGACACGGGCAGCACCTGGAGGACTGAGACAGAACAGTAAGCTATTGATTTCTGAATTAACTTGACAGGTTACAAAGCGCCCGCTGAACTCTGAGGAGCAGTGCCACGTTTTGTAGTTCACCTGGTGCCTCTTATTTTTGTCCCCCAAAACATTTTATGGCGTAAAMAATGATTTAAGAAATAAAGAAATAAATAAAGAACATTTATCATTACATAAAACAGAATTGAAAGAGGACAGACACTGACTGTACCTGTACCTGTGCTGTCGTCGTAGACCACAGTGACCGTTCGCCACTTGAAGAAGTGCACGAGGTCGAGGATGGCTCGGCTGAGGGAGGAGAAGTCGGGGTACAGGCTGACATAGTAGGAGTCCTTGTTGTCTGACACTTGATGCTTCCACTTGGTCTGGATGTGGGGCACTCCCAAAGCGTTACAGATGGACTGGACCGCGTTGGCAGACGAGCTGTGCGAGGGGCCAAAAATGGCCGCCACCCCAAGAGACAGCTGGTCACATGCTGGAACGAGCGGAAGCGCTTCGTTAATTATCTGTTCCTGTTGGATTTTTTTTTAATCTTGAGCAACACAAATACTGAACAAAACGATTTTTTTTTTTGGTCAACCACATTTTATTCACACAATCTTTTGTTAGGCTTTTTTTTTTTTTCAAATAATGAGTTGTCATATACTAAAACTCTTGTACAAGTTGCTGTAATGCATGACTTTGTTGTGCTGATATTTTTCTACTTCTCAAATCTCTTAAACTGTAGTAGAGAAAAAAGTGAAAAAAAAAAAAACATGTTCACAATTTTTGCACCATAAATTATCAATGCTTTTTCTGTCCAATTCCAGGACTCACAGCTGCCCGTTTATTACAGGAAATTTGATGTTTAAAATAAAATACCATATACCCAAATAGCGTGATTTGCAGTTGCATTGTGTCTTGGTTGGATGACATCTTAATGCCGACCAAATAAAAAAACACAAGAACAAAACAGTTAGTAGCTAAACACCACACGGCACTGTTAGAAGGCAGAAATGCTGCGATCCAGGTGGAGCATTGGCACAAAGCGTGCATCACATACTCAGTTTTTATTTTATTTTATTTTACTTTATTTTATTTTATTTTATTTTATTTTATTTTTCATGCAGTGGCAGATCAAGGTTAGTAAAGGGTAAGCAGTAAGGAGCCATCAATATTCATAGAGGGGCCACGTGTTTGTTCAACTTCCTTACAAACAAATCCCCAGTTTTGGGAAGAAACATTTAAAAAACTGCAACGTAAATAAATCTACTTAACAATTTTACATTCATTTTTTATTGTACATGGATAAAATGCTCTTAAACACGTGAGAAAATATTAGACTTTTTCTCCAGGATTGGTTCAAACCTTTTTAAGAGGAGGAGAGGACTTCTGTGAGCTTGATTCAAGCAGGACTTTCCTATTTGACTCATTAGCGCCCCTAGTGTTCAGATATGGAACTGCATCCATCGGCATCATGATTGGCAAAGGACAGATGAGTGACAGGACGAAGGCACTTCAGGGGGCCAATCAGATTTCAACTGTGGCCAAAGCCTCTGTGGTCCCGCCCCTAGAACCACCTCTATTTATATGGATTAACGTTTATTTATATT